GGCGCAAACGGCAAAAGAAGCTTCGAATACCACATGAACGGGACATAGAGAGCCAGTGATGGCACCAGGTGGTGGCACCAGTGATGTCACCAGTGATGTCACCAGTGATGGCACCAGTGATGGCCCTAGGTGATGGCACAAGGTGATGGCACCAGTGATGGCACCAGTGATGGCACCAGTGATGGCACCAGTGATGGCACCAGGGGATGGCCCCAGGTGATGGTACCAGTGATGGCACCAGTGATGGCACCAGTGATGGCACCAGGTGGTGGTACCAGTGATGGCACCAGGTTGTGGTACCAGTGATGGCACCAGGTGGTGGCAAGAGTGATGGTACCAGTGATGGCACCAGTGATGGCCCCAGGTGATGGCATCAGGTGATGGCACCAGTGATGGCACCAGTGATGGCACCAGGTGGTGGTACCAGTGGTGGTACCAGTGACGGCACCAGGTTGCGGTACCAGTGATGGCACCAGGTGGTGGCAAGAGTGATGGCACCAGGTGATGACCCCAGGTGATGGCACTAGTGATGGTACCAGTGATGGCACCAGTGATGTCCCCAGGTGAAGGCATCAGGTGATGGCACCAGTGATTGCACCAGTGATGACACCAGTGATGGCACCAGTGATGGCAACAGTGATGGCACCAGTGATGGCACCAGTGATGGCATCAGGTGATGGTACCAGTGATGACACCAGTGATGGCACCAGTGATGGCAACAGTGATGGCACCAGTGATGGCACCAGTGATGGCACCAGTGATGGCATCAGGTGATGGTACCAGTGATGACACCAGTGATGGCACCAGTGATGGCAACAGTGATGGCACCAGTGATGGCACCAGTGATGGCACCAGTGATTGCACCAGTGATTGCACCAGTGATGGCACCAGGTGATGGTATCAGGTGGTGGCACCAGTGATGGTCCTAGGTGATGGCACCAGGTGATGGCACCAGTAATGGCACCAGGTGATGGCACCAGTGATGGCACCAGTGATGGAACCAGTGATGGCACCAGTGATGGCACCAGTGATGGCACCAGTGATGGCATCAGGGGATGGCCCCATGTGATGGCACCAATGATGGGACCAGTGACGGCACCAGGTTGTGGTACCAGTGATGGCACCAGGTGGTGGCACCAGTGATGGCACCAGGTGATGACCCCAGGTGATGGCACTAGTGATGGTACCAGTGATGGCACCAGTGATGGCCCAAGGTGATGGCATCAGGTGATGGCACCAGTGATGGCACGAGTGATGGCACCAGTGATTGCACCAGTGATGGCACCAGGTGATGACACAAGTGATGGCACCAGTGATGGCCCCAGGTGATGGCACCCGGTGATGGCACCAGTAATGGCACCAGGTGATTGCACCAGTGATGGCACCAGGTGATGGCACCAGGTGATGGCACGAGTGATGGCATCAGTGATGGCACCTGTAATGACACCAGGCGATGGCACGAGTGATGGCACCAGTGATGGCACCAGGTGATGGCACGAGTGATTGCCCAAGGTGATGGTACCAGTGACGGCACCAGTGATGGCACCAGGTGATGGCACCAATGATGGCACCAGGTGATGGCACCAGTAATGGCACCAGGTGATGGCACGAGTGATGGCCCCAGGTGATGATACCAGTGATGGCCCCAGTGATGGCACCAGTGATGGCCCCAGGTGATGGCATCCGGTGATGGCACCAGTAATGGCACCAGGTGATGACACCAGTGATGGCACAAGTAATGGCACCAGGTGATGGCACCAGTGATGGCACCAGGTGATGGCACCAAGTGATGGCACCAGTGATGGCACCTGTAATGGCACCAGGTGATTGCACGAGTGATGGCATCAGTTATGGCACCAGGTGATGGCACGAGTGATGGCCCCAGGTGATGGTACCAGTGACGGCACCAGTGATGGCCCCAGGTGATGGCTCCAATGATGGCACAAGGTGATGGCGCCAGTAATGGCACCAGGTGATGGCACCAGTAATGGCACCAGGTGATGGCACGAGTGATGGCCCCAGGTGATGGTACAAGTGATGGCCCCAGTGATGGCACCAGGTGATGGCACCAGGTGATTGCACCAGTGATGGCATCAGGTGATTGCACCAGGAGATGACACCGGTGATGGAACTAGTGACGGCCCCAGGTGATGGCACCAGTGATGGCACCAGTGATGGCACCAGTGATGGAACCTGTGATGGCACCATGTGGTGGCACCAGTGATGGCCCAAGGTGATGACACCAGGTGGTTGCACCAGTGATGACCCCAGGTTATGGCCCCAGGTGATGGCACCAGTGATGGCACCAGTGATTGCACCAGTGATGGCCCTAGGTGATGGCCCCAGGTGATGGCACCAGTGATTACACCAGAGGTTTGCACCAGTGATGGCACCAGGTGATGGCACCAGGTGATGGCACGAGTGATGGCACCAGTGATGGCACCTGTAATGGCACCAGGTGATGGCACGAGTGATGGCACCAGTGATGGCACCAGGTGATGGCACGAGTGATGGCCCCAGGTGATGGTACCAGTGACGGCACCAGTGATGGCACTAGGTGATGGCACCAGTAATGGCACAAGGTGATGGCACCAGTAATGGCACCAGGTGATGGCACCAGTGATGGCCCCAGGTGATGGTACTAGTGATGGCCCCAGTGATGGCCCCAGGTGATGGCATCCGGTGATGGCACCAGGTAATGGCACCAGGTGATGACACCAGTGATGGCACAAGTAATGGCACCAGGTGATGACACCAGTGATGGCACAAGTAATGGCACCAGGTGATGGCACCAGTGATGGCACCAGGTGATGGCACCAAGTGATGGCACCAGTGATGGCACCTGTAATGGCACGAGGTGATGGCACGAGTGATGGCACCAGTAATGGCACCAGGTGAGGGCACGAGTGATGGCCCAAGGTGATGGTACCAGTGACGGCACCAGTGATGGCACCAGGTGATGGCACCAATGATGGCACAAGGTGATGGCACCAGTAATGGCCCCAGGTGATGGTACCAGTGATGGCCCCAGTGATGGCACCAGGTGATGGCACCAGATGATGGCACCAGGTGATTGCACCAGTGATGGCATCAGGTGATTGCACCAGGAGATGACACCGGTGATGGAACTAAGGACGGCCCCAGGTGATGGCCCCAGTGATGGCCCCAGTGATGGCACCAGTGATGGCACCAGTGATGGCACCATGTGGTGGCACCAGTGATGGCCCCAGGTGATGACACCAGGTGGTTGCACCAGTGATGACCCCAGGTTATGGCCCCAGGTGATGGCACCAGTGATGGCACCAGTGATTGCACCAGTGATGGCCCTAGGTGATGGCCCCAGGTGATGGCACCAGTGATTGCACCAGGTGTTTGCACCAGGTGATTGCACCAGTGATGGCACCAGTGATGGCACCAGGTGATGGCAACAGTGATGGCACCAGTGGTGGCAGCAGGTGATTGCACCAGGTGATGGCACCAGTGATGGCACCAGTGATGGCACAAGGTGGTGGCACCAGTGATGGCTCCAGGTGGTGGCACCAGGTAATGGCACCAGTAATGGCACCAAGTGATGGCACCAAGTGATGACACCAGTGATGGCACCAGGTGATGGCACCAGTGATGGCACGAGTGATGGCACCAGGTGGTGGCATCAGTGACGGCACCAGTGATGGCACCAGTGATGGCACCAGGTGATGGCACCAGTAATGGCACCAGGTGATGGCACCAGTGATGGCACCAGTGATGGCACCAGGGGAGGGCACCAGTGATGGCACCAGGTGCTCGCGAAAAGGGAAGCATTTTCAGACCCACCCTTATCCCGGTTATGGTGTTCTCGGGATCATATTGCGAAATTTCTCAACGCGGCTTGAATTCCCACTCATTCATTTAGTACTCACAATGACTATTTTAGAAGAACACGTATAGACAAACGACAAAACCTAACTATAAGAAATCTCTGCTGAAAGAGATTATCAGCCTGTTCAGCAATGATACGAACTCCATACGTTCTGTTTCCATGAAATCATACTTTGGAAAATTCCCCAGTTGAGTTTATTTTCTCTGTCATTTTGACGTCCTATACCAGATGTCAATGTATTACGATACCAAGGTGCCTGGTGTAGACCGATATTTCTCATCTAAATAACCAGGAGTTCAGATATGTTTTAAACATGTGATATTACTGAACGTCGATTTAGCAGACCGCGTCCGTGGTCTAATGGTAGAGCGGATGTCCGGAGAGCGAACCCAAGATCGCGTCATACCAAAAGACGTTAAAAGATGGTACTTAATGTTACCCTGCCTGACTCTCGGCATTAAGGAGTTAAAACGAACACTGTTCGGCTCAGAGTATACTGTGTCTGAGTGGGGTATTCATGTTAAACTGTGGCATAGTATCTCAGTGGGCTAGCACTATAAACTCGGCATACAAGCAGCCACACACACGCGCACGCACACACGCACACACGCACACACACACGCACACCTAAACGCACACGCACACAGGTGCAGGCCCGTCTCAATATAAGTGCAAATCGTTGAACACGACGTTAAAGCACATAACACCTCACTCATTTTAGCACAGCTGTTTCAAAATGAACCAACGAAAACAAAGAAAAATAAAGTGGGATTATAAAATCATTCCGTGCTCTAAAGTTTTTCCTAATCCTAAAGGGCGGTCGGGGAGCCTAGTGGTTAAAGCGTTCGCTCATCACGCCGAAGACCCGGGTTCGATTCCCGACATGGGTACACTGTGTGAAGCCCATTTCTGGTGTCCCCCGCCGTGATATTGCTGGAATATTGCAAAAAGCGGCGTAAAACCATACTCAGTTACACACACCTGCTGCACAACTGATGATGCAGAATATAATGTGACATGCAACTGTGACACTGACAACCACTTAAACTGAAGCAGTTTGGCAGTTCAAGTTATGGGAACATACGCATGTGTGTCATGGTAATACGCGTAGTAAGCGTAATTATAATGGAGCCATCCATCAACGTGTAGTTGCATCATTGGACAGCTCCTGAACGGACGTGTATAAAGGATTGGACGTGTAGTTTGGTTGATATGTGCCGCTCCAATATGGAAACGTTAACCTGCATCTTAAGCTTGCTGTGTCTTGCGTGCTGGTCCCTTCCTCGTGGTGTTGAAGGTAGGAATCTAACTGACCACCAAGGCATACCATGAACTGAAAACTAACACTTACACTTTGACTGATCGATCTGTCAAAGTCGTCAGTTTCAGAATAGTATGACCTTTGCCCATGTTCGACCACTGTTCACTGAGTGTCCTTCTGGCTTGCTGAACGGTGGTGAAGTAAAGACGTAGAAGGACGACTAGTTATTCATTGTTCTCAGAAAGACGATGCTTGCAAGAATATAGCAGTAGAGATGACACCCTATGTATAATAACACCCTATGTATAATTATATTTTTATAATTGATAATTATATATTTTTTAATCGAGCCTATTCTCGTGACACACAACAATATAGCAAAAGGGACATGATATGAAAAATAGGTATTTTGTCAGATAGCAGAATAGTTCTACTGCTGGGCTGTTTCATGCCCCTCTGTGTTGGAGGAGAGTAATACATGCAGACAATTTCTACTGCATTCTACTGTTGGGCTGTTGCAAGCCTTTCTATGTTGAAGGTGGGTAGTAAAGGCCTATTGTCTCTACAGTTTTCCACTGTTGGGCTGTTGCAAGCCTCTCTAGGTTGAAGGTGGGTAGAAAATGCAGACTGACTCCACTTTCTCTCATTGTTGTGATGTTGCAAGCCACACTATCTTGACGGTGGGTAGTAAAGGCAGATTGTCTCTCTTTCTCTTGTGCGGTTGCAAGCCCCTCTATGTTGAAGGTGGGTAGTAAAGACATATTGTCTCTACAGTCTTCCACTGTTAGGTTCTTGCAAGTCTCTCTATGTTGAAGGTGGGTAGTAAAGACATATTGTCTCTACAGTCTTCCACTGTTAGGCTGTTGCAAGCCTCTCAATGTTGAAGGTGGGTAGTAAAGACATATCGTCTCCACAGTCTTCTACCGTTGTGCTGTTGCAAGCAGCTCTATGATGAAGGTGGGTAGTAAAGCCATATTGTCTCTACAGTCTTCCACTGTTAGGCTGTTGCAAGCCTCTCAATGTTGAAGGTGGGTAGTAAAGACATATCGTCTCCACAGTCTTCTACCGTTGTGCTGTTGCAAGCAGCTCTATGATGAAGGTGGGTAGGACAGGCAGACTGTTGCTACTGTCTCTTACCGTTGTGCTGTTGCAAGCAACTCTATGATGAAGGTGGGTAGTAAAGACATATTGTCTCCACAGTCTTCTACCGTTGGGCTGTTGCCAGCAACTCTTGTTGAAGTGGGGTAGGACAGGCAGACTGTTGCTACTGTCTCTTACCGTTGTGCTGTTGCAAGCAACTCCATGATGAAGGTGGGTAGTAAAGACATATTGTCTCCACAGTCTTCCACTGTTGGAGTGTTTTTTTGTATGTGCTCCAATGCTCTGATTCCTCAGCCTCTCCGGAAACAGTATCCCATGTACAATGTCAAGGGAAAGGTGAGAACACAGACATTTTAAAGTCCCCCCAAGTTTTCCGCATTCTGCATCGTAAAATGTTAGTTTCATATCATGACACTCACAACTGAAATGGGTCACCATAGCAACTTAGAGATGCTGTTATCAGAATGATGATGGTGACGGCTTCCATTTCATCTTCAGCTGCTGTAACTAAAGGGGGAAGTTTACTTCTAAAGTCTACATTCCATACACAAGGAAATAGGCAGATTAAAAGGAAATGATCTTCAACAACACATGTTTATCATAAAACCCTATTTAGTTTCTTATCATATGACAAGGAATCCGACCTGATCCTGACAAGCTATATTCTTTCCTATAATTACTACAGTAAGAATGAACTCTGTAGTGGCTCTCACTGTTATATACAGGCACGAAGTGCACAGGCGGATTCCACAAGCATGGAGATTCTTGTTATTGGTTCTCGAACATAAAAGGAACATTTGCAGAAGCGAGGGTGAGTGATTTATACAATCCAGAAGTCTGAAACGTCATCAGATTTGTGGGCGGTTATTTCTTGACACACATCTACAAATCAGTTACGTTATTGTATCCAACTTGACGCAATTGGTAAAAAACATATGTTAGGGTGTATGAATTTTATTTAGTCGAGACAACATTAGGAAAATTGAAAAACTAATTTTCAAGCTTTCTTTCGCATGATTAAGACGTTTCTGTATTGGAGAAAATATGTATCATGTGTTTGGTCAAATGTCCACATAAAATAATCAATACCACCATAAGATCTTGATAGGACGAATTATTTTAAGGGTGATCTCTGATGCAACAAAACCTGTGTATGTGTGACACATTACCTTCACTGCAAGGGTAAAAAGTGTCACCTCTAAAGTTGTTGTTTTTGGTATTGCTTACGTTCATTTCTTGATTGATCTTTTGATTAGGAACTGCATAAAGTGATAAGATTGATTAACAATGTGTTTTGTAGGAAGTCAGTGATCTTCTTAACTTTGTAGCATAAAATGAGTAACTGAGATTGTTGATGGTTGTTTCCTTGCAGTGGATTGGAAAAGAGTATTTGTTCCCCTAAGAGTGTAAACCATCAAAGTTTTATTCCTGAACAGCTAAAGAGATGGTGTAAACTCTTTTACATGTGTTCCTTTGTTTATGCGTCCTATGAAGAATGTGTGACATAAGTTAGAATTGTTCTTTATTCTTCACAGTCAATCTGTCGCTTCCTGGGCAGTGATCTGGTCGCCATCACCAGTCACACCGAGGATGCCTTTGTCAGAGGGTATGCGACCCAGCGGGGAAAAGGTGGGTATACTCAGAAGTGCCAATTATCATTGCTTTACCCCAAATTCAATGGTACACACGTCATTGGAAAAGTGTATGATATAAATATATTTATTTCCATAAAGTGGAGTGATTGGCAAACAAGCAAATTGTTCTTATCTGAATGCCTCTCCCAAACATGATACATATACAAATAGCAATGTATATAGGAAAATTGTATTCATACCAATAGCGTAATTGTAGCGTAAAACGAGGTTTCAGTGGTTCAGTTTCATACGTATAGGTATGTAAATAGATATTTGCATGGTTTGTGATACGTTATAAAAAATACGTGTACAAAAGTTATTTCCTATAATAATGAATACCCATTGTATGTCATATGTGTTGAAATAGGCCGTTGTCTCATACTAAACACATTCTTTGTTTTCTTATCATGTAATGAAGCTGATAGATACTACCTGGGGGGCACCGACCTTGGTCTGGAGGGACACTGGATATGGACGGGGAACAAGCCCTTCACTTACACCAACTGGGCACCAGGGCAACCAACTAACCGCGGAAATAATGAACACTGTCTCGAAGCTCACAAAGTTTTCGGATACAGGTGGAATGATATTCATTGTGACATGAAAGCAAATTTCATTTGTCAGATGTCGCCACTGAGAGGATAAATAAAACTGGCTGTTGCAGACTGTCTCTGGAAGCAACAATTTCACATGTGTGATTAAGAAATAAACGTACCCTTTTGCATATATTACAGTTAACCTGATAAACAAATACAGGTTACAGGGAACACACTCAGCACACTCTAGCACACTCAGATACCACGCCGCAGTTTAAGCAGTAATAGGCAGTATTCTCAGTCGACCAGTCCTATTTCTAGCCCATTATTGCCGAGCGCCAGATAGGGTAACAAGTACCATCTTTTAACGTCTTTTAGTATGATGCGACCGGGCACCGCACGACGGACCTTCCGCTCTCCGGGCGGACGTTCTACCACTAGACCAAGGAGGCGGTAGACAGGGTAACAACAAGTACCGTCTTTTAACGTCTTTTGGTATGACGCGGCCGAGGATCGAACGCCGGACCTTCCGCTCTCCGGGCGGACGCTCTACCACAAGACCGCGTTGACCAGCTGTTGATGAGCGTAGATGACACGTGTGGGCGCGACATAACTCGCGATTTGTTTTGTTGAAACATGACCACTGATAAGCTTATCGCCGAGCTGATACATAAACATAATTGATAAAACACAAACCCTGAACGCTCAGGGCGGACTCTCTATCAAGAGACCACGAAGGCGGTCCCTCAGTAAAGCGACATTTCCAAATTCAGTCGGACGCATCAGTGACATAAATCATACCCCATGCAATTCCCTAATTCAGCTTGTATCATATGTTGCCATATTTATTCAGGTGAACAATTGGTTTGTCCTTGCACATGCTTGTGATGGGTGCCAAGGGTGGGGCAGGATACTCAAACCTTTTCGCGAACACCTGGTGTCATCACAACAACAAAAATTGACATTCTGCGTGGATATTACGATTCTTACAAGAAACAGATCAAAATTAAGGTTGGTTGGTTGGTTAGTTGGTTGTTTAACGCCGCACTCAGCAATATTCCAGCTATATGACGGCAGTCTGTAAATAATCGAGTTTGGACCAGACAATCCCGTGATTGATATCATGAGCATCGATCCACGCAATTGGGATCGATGGCATGCATCAACCAAGTCAGCGAACCTGACCACCCGATCCCGTTAGTCGCCTTTTACGACAAGCAGTGTCACCTTTTACGGCAAGCATGTAATGCTGAAGACCACTCTACCCCGGAGTCTTCACGGGTTCTTAAAATTAAGGAAGGCGTCATATCTTGTATTATGACGTTATCATAGCATTTTCGCGTATGTTATGTCATTCCGGAATCACCAATTCCCAATTATTCAATGACCTCAATATTCATGAACTGACAGTGATTCACGATTTGACCCATCTTCTCAAATAAAAGTCAAAGAAATCGGTGTCTGAGTGGGATGACTTTGTCACATCAGAGCCGGGCGGTAGGTGGGGGTGGTGGGTTGTGGGGGTGGGGTGGGTAGGGGGGTTGGGGATGGGTGGGGGGGGAGGGGGCGTATATAACAAACAATGGCTCTGTAAATCATTTAAAATATCACATGTAAAAGTGAAAGAAGAACAGGAAGATGTAGTAAAATTAATAGAAAAATAAGTTCTGTTTCTTTGAGCATTTTAGATGAGGAACCGTTTTCAGAAAGTAGCTTTTAGGGAACACATTTTATGTTGGTTGGTTTGTTGATTTACGCCGCACTCAGCAATCTTCCAGCTATATGACGGCGGTCTGTAAATAATCAGACCAGACAATCCAGTGATTGATATCATGAGCATCGATCCATAACGTTCATGAAACAGAAGGTAAAGCAACATATACGCATTGGTCTTCATTAAACAGAAGGTGGAACAACATATAAGTATGAGTGTTCATGAAACAGAAGGTGCAACAACATATTCGTATGGGTGTTCATTTAACAGGAGCTGCAACAACATATACGTATGGATGTTCATCTAACACCGTCAATAATACATTATTTATGCCAATGATTTTATACATGCTGTTGACAACACACAAACATATAATGTAGTTGCTAATATCAGGGATCAATTCCACGCCTCTATGATAAATAGCTACAGTATTTTTGTTCTAATGTGGGATTCTACGTTAGACAATTCAGTCTTGACAGGTTGTGATATGATTGTCGTGAAATCCAACAAACGTTTGCCATAATGATTTAGAGATATGTAAACAGAAAGTAATGAACAGTTTACATACACTCTGTAGGTTATGTAATATAAAGTGTAGGGTGTGAAAATTAGAATACATGTGAATGTCCACATAAATACAAAGACTGGTTGAGCATAATAATAGAGCGGTTTAATAAAGCGACAAAACCCTTTCTATAGCCAATAGAAATCTCTGCATAAAGCAAAGTCGACACCGATCCCAACTACATGTCATAAGCATGTGTTTGTGAATCACTAATCTCTGCATAAAGCAGAGTCGACTGTACAATTCCGACTATATCGTGAGCATGTGTTTATGAATCACTATAAAATAGAGTTTGCGAAAAGGTGAGCGTATCCTGCCCCACCGAAAAGTAAGTATTTGTAGGGCAGAATAATAGAAAAGTTTTATATAAACATGGATTGTTTGTGCACTATGGTTACTTCCGTTGCCATGCCAATAATCAATAGTTGTATTATGAGAACGTATTCCCTGTAACCCTTTCCCTTAGCACCCACCGTGCGTGAAGTATTTGTACATGTGCTGCCAGTCCATGGCACCCGTTACGCTTGTGAACATGTGCGGCTGGTCCTTTAGCAACCGCCTTGTGTTACATTAGTGTTCGTGTTTTGTTAAGGTCACAGCAATTTCGAAATAGTTTCTTGGTTGTGATGGAATAGCATATAATTATACACAAATATGACACTAGTGCTAGCGTTGAAAGCTTATGAAACGCTTTTGATTTAGTTGGGTTTGGTTTAACGCAGCGTTTAACATTATTCCAATTATATCATGGCGTGACAGCTTAATGTTGGAGGAAAGCTGGAGTGATGCAGGTCTCAGATGTTTACCACTTTGGTGAAACCAACGAACACGGGTATGGTGCTGACAAACACAGAAACATAATCGGGGCGAACCAGGATTCGAACCCACAATCATAGGTTTCTGGTGTGACCAAGGGACGCAACTCGGCAAAGCGAACCGCGCCGCCTTAGACGACTGGGCCACCCGTGCCCATTCATGCCATTTGTAAAATTATGTGCCATATTTGTGTCCCTGCTCATCAGTCATTACGGATGTACAACCCTACCCTGTTTTCGAGTTGTATCCAGATAGCATCTGTTAGACCGCCTCCTTGATCTTGTGGTAGAGAGTCCGCCCGGAGAGCAGAAGGTCCGGAGTTCGATCCCCGGCCGCGTCATACCAAACGACGTAAAAAGATGGTACTTGTTGTTACCCTGTCTGACGCTAGGCATTAAGGGGCTAAAACAAGGACTGGTCGGCTTGGAGTCAGTACACTGTGTCTGAGTGGGGTATTCATGTTAAACTGCGGCATGTTAGTGAGCTAGCACTATAAATCGGCATAAGTCCGAACTAGTACAAGGTAACACACACACACACACACACACACACACACACACACACACACACACACACACACACACACACACACACACACACACACACACACACACACACACACACACACACACACACACACACAACACACACACAACACACACACACACAACACACACACACACACACACACGTCGTTACATAAGTGCATAATCTTGGACGTGACCTTAAACCCAATTTCACCTTACCTCACGCATCTGTTAACATTGTAAAACAAGTGTCCAAGTCGAAAATCTGGAAGTTAACAACGCCATTTGGACATACTTTGGAACATTTTCCCGAACATTGTTAGACTTCCTTTGCAGAACAACTTAAATAGGATCGTCAAGCTAGGAACACGCCTGTTCCAATTACGAAATCAGTTCCAGATTGCCTTCATTGATTGATGCAGACATATTTGCATTCAAGGCACTAACGTCAGCAATACCCATATATCATGGTTCTCAAAAAATACTGAACAAAGTTTAATAAGCTAAAGATTACAAATAATAACACGTGTTATTAGTGCTTTGTTAATGTCTCAAATCATATTTCTTCAACGACATCATCGAAAAACAGTTTTCCCGATAGAATTATGACTAAGAGCGGATATCTATTTTGACTCGAAATAGGTATCTGTATATCTCATGTATTATAATCAACATTAACAACCCCTCACTCAATACCCAGATAGTCATGCGCAAATGACACAGTCATCGCATCTTAGATAGTTTTGCAAGTCACAATTTGGTACTGCATATGTCAGAAATATTGACAACTTTGTAGGCTTTTTCTGGCTGCTGATTACCAACGTAACAGCTTGTGTTCATTTGCATAGAAATGTATTTACCAGTGCGACCACTGTCAGTTGATTTCAAAACGTTATTGTGTGTGTGTGTGATGGGTGTCACGGGTAGGGCAAGAAACGCTCACCTGTTCTTCTCTATCAACTGGTATTATCACTATTTGATGGTGAATCATAAACACGTGCTCATGATAATCAGTCGAGTCCCGGTAATCCGGTCTTAATAGCACTGATTTAATCGGTTCCCATCATTTGCATCCGATAAAGCCGATTTTCGGATTAAAGAGTGTCGGATTAACGAGACTTGTCTGTAGTCGAATACAATCGACGCTGGTTTTAGCAAAGGTTTCTGGTGAATGTGGGAAGGGTTTTGTCACTTTAATTTACAGCATGTCACAATCTGAAACAACCGTGACCAACGTTTATCTTGAAGTTGATCAAGTATCACACATGTTCTGTTGCATACGTGTGAAGAACTTAGGCGCCGTCCAACTTGTTATCATACAGGTGTGCAATAACACCGAGGTGCGGACCACAGCTGTGCCGCCACTCATGATCCTAGCATTTCTGTCACCTGAAATATTAAATGCAAAAAATCTTTATACGCACAACTATACGTGACATATGCTTGATCAATCTATGTTCATGTCAAACAAAGATCCGGTATAGAACAGGTCTTCAGCAACCCATGCTTGCC